GTCTTGGAAAAGTAACCTGATAAAGCTGTGTGGAGAGTCTTACTACTTGAATTGAATTCAGTTTCTCCTGTTCACTCTTGTAATTAAATAACCCAAACACATCTGTTTGGTTTGAAACAGCAGACTGCATAGGACCAAGTACTTTTTTTAGAATAGATTCAGTGGCCTAACAGAAAAGATTAACTGTGAAATTTTCTGTTTGACTAGAAAGAAGATTATTGTAAAACACATTTCTAAGTGCTGAGGTATAGTAGCAGCAAGAAGAACTCCCTGGCACATGAGGCATTATAGATCATATATTTAGAATCATCTCACCTAGATGGGTGAGATAAGTTTGGTGAATTATTCACAGCTGTGAGTGTATGATTCATGAAGAAAACCAGAAGGCTGGTGTAGTTGAGGAGGGGTCAGTTGCATTGTTACCTTACTCTGCCAGAAGGTTATCAAGAATAAAGTGCAAACTCTTCTTGGAGATGCAGAGCAAAAACGTGAGGCATTGGATGCAAGTTATAGCTAGTGAAATGCTGAAAAGACAGTAGGAAAAAAAAGGCACATTGAGATTATTTAATACCTTGTAGATATCGACAGAAAGGTGGAGGTGTTTCCATCCTTGGAGAACCTCCAAACACAACATGACAAGAACCTGAACACCCTCATGTAACTTTGAACAAGAGTGTAAGTGACTTCTCAGGATCCCTTCCAACCTAAATTACTTTAAGTCTACAATTCTACTTGTTATAAATTCAATGTATTCCTTCATGAACTTTTCTCTTAAACGGTTGTAAAGCTACAAACCTCTTTTAACTTATATTGTAAAACTGTCTTTTGCTAGTGATATAGATGGCATAATGTGTACAGCCCCAGAGTTGGAGGGGAAGGAAATGGAATGATGAACTAGTATACAAAAAGGAAATTCACTTGCACTGTGCTATGAATTTCTGGAAGTGCACATACGTTCCTGATGTGAGTGTGATGCATCATCTGGTGAAGGTATTGCACTGAAAATAGATTTCCTGAACGGATGCTGCATTTGTTCAATTCTTTTAGCTTACCATTTTGATAGACAATAAACTGTAGCTGCATAGTGAGCTTTGGTGAATGTACTATAGGAACACATTATTTTAACTTAAGTACAATTTCTTTTGTGAGCAAAACTTTTAAAACATTACTGTTGATAAAAATACTCTTCAGATTTACCCAGTTATATCCTAGTAACTACTTCCTTGATATAAAATTGCAAAAAAAAAATTAAAAATATCCCACATTTAAAAGTGTTATTTATCCTTAGTTCTTAATCATATACAGATTTGATAATTTCTTTGTTCTTAGAAAATCTGTTGCATTTCACAAAAGTTCATTATCCTTGTTTGTGTACTCCAGCCTTTCTTAAGGAATATATCCTAAAACTAGATGGTGGATCTGAGAATATTTCAATTCAAATTAGGGTTTTAAGGCTACTATTAATAGACTAATGTGCTTTTCCACTCAAATATACATGAAAATTGTACGTGTGTATATTTTGGTTAGATGTAAACTTCTCTTTTCAAATATACATCCTTATTCAAATGTACTACGCTTTCTGTACCAGTTCAAAAAGCTATGTTTTGCATCCAGATGGCAAGTTTCGAAGTTGAATTGCAAATCTGTGATGAGGCAAATGTTGCAGCAATCCAAGCAGTTACTGTGTATCAGAATACATGAAACTTTCATAGGAAGTCAGTAAACTGGAATATGGTCAATAGTGGTGATACAGAGTAACAAAGTATCCCTTCAATAGCGATGGCAGCAGTTTACAAATGTGAAGGTTTGGAACTTCTAGAAAATCACTGAAAAACTTGTGTATGCCTTGAAGTCCTCAAGTTTTTTTGTAATGGTACTCTTATGTATGCAGCACAAAGAACTTGTGTCACCTTCTTATACAGTCAGTCTTTCACAGAAATGCTGAATATTTTGTGTTTAAACTTCTTTAAAAGATAGCAGAAAGGTGTTGCTGAAAATATCTTCCACTTATTCTGCTTATGAATAATAATCCCAGTTTTAATGGTAAATCCTCCGAAAAGAAGTGGTAATGGAAGTGCTGGCATGCTCAGTGTCTCCAACCCTCCAGGTGTTACAATAAAAGAAGCTTTAAGAACTTCAAGAACAGCACAAGGGCAAAACCTACAGATGTTTCCTTCAGTTGTTTGTAAAAGGGGAGTTTTGCTACAGTGCTATTGTTTCAGTTTTCCCTTTTCTCTTGGGGTTTTATTCTGCTGTAGTTTATCATCCTCAGTTCTCAGAATAGCAGAATTCCCTGGTAGGTCACACCAAAATGGGGAGGAGGGGTCTTTCCTTAAGACCTTCCCTTTCTATCCTTCTGACAGAAGAGCAGAGGTAGACTTCTCAGGGCAAAGATTTTAGTACAAAGGTCATTATCAACAGAGCAATCCATAGTGAGCGCAAGATTGAAATGAAATCGTTTTAGATATATTGTGAAGTGAAAAAGAGAAATTACCTGCAGTTTTGAAGTGTTTGCTTGCTAGCTGCACCAATGGAAAGCTTAATCTCCTTGCAAGGAAGGGCTCTCTTTCTCGATGAAAAAGTTGAATGGCTGGTGTGGTGAGTGTTACCTTTCATTGACTTAAAATGCAGTCCTTGTTATATGTTGTGAAATGAGAAAGATAGGTCAGTAAAATATGTAATGTTGTGTAGCCAGAAAATATCATCTAGGTATTCATGTTGAAGGTATTTTATCATATTGGTGAGTAATTGCATGCTAGAAATTCTATTTAACTGTGTTATGGTGCCAAATTCTGCAGCCCTAGCATGCTGACCTACTAAGGACTTTAGGAAGATGCAGCTGCATTGTCTCTGATAAATTCTTCTAGACCTTGACTTTGGTCACTTTCTCTGTCAAATATTTAGTACGCTTCTTCCTATTTCAGGAGGTTGCAGAATTTTCAGTAACTCATTTATAGCTAATAAAATTAAAGTGTAAAAATTTAACATAGAAATCTTCATCAAATGGTACTAAGAATTTATGTCTCACATTTAAGTCTCCAAAGCTATTACTGAGATAATGAAAAACTTACTGTACGCTTACACATGTTTTAAGAATGGAAGCCAAAGTTTGTTTGTTTGTTTGTTTGTTTGTTTCCTCAAATTGCCTCTTTCTATTGTGGAGAAAGAGGGGAGATAATATCTTAAATTTGGGACATTGCATCTATTTGCATCACAATATTATGTGTGTAAATTTTTGATGAAGGCTCTTTAAAGAGTTAACTTATGGCAACTTGAATTCTGCACAGAAACTCTAGCATGGCTAAATGTAGAAAAGATGTACAGTTTCATTGTTCTCTGCCTCATGAAAAAATCTGTTTGGTTAAATGAAAATAAATACAATGTTTCTTTATTTTTAGCATAACTTCCTAAGGAAAGGAGGCTTATGTCGTAGCACTGCCTGTCTGCCTCTGTTCCCACTTCAGAATATTTGCACAATGCAGTTAAATGAGGAGCCGAATTTTCCAAGATGAAAAGTTTTCTGCAAGATTAGTGAAAGTCAGTGACTTGACTAGTCAGGAGAAAAAGAACCCCAAAACCTTAAGCTGACATTCTCCTCTCAGTACAAGTTCAGTGGTTGTCCCATGGAGATGTGGGCTGGTCAGGGAGCAAATGAGTACACATTCTCATAGGATCTGCTTTTACTTAGGGGGTAAAAATTCTCTTGTGGACAAAGAGAACCAGAGGTATTAGTGGGAAAGTGTGAGTGGATATCGGTGGAGTCAGAAGTTGGATATGACTGCAATAAAAAAGGAAGAATTAAATGTTTTAAAAATATTAAAAGTACACAGAACCCAAACCTCCACAAACTCTATGGGGATCAAGTTTCACCACCTCTGCCTCTCAAGGAAGAATTTCTTCATATTGTCAAATTACATATCAGGAAACCTAACTAGACTGATACTGCTGCTATTTTACCTGTAGTTTTGGTGAATCATAGTACATAATTCTTAGTATTGAAGAAGTTTTAGAGAACAATAGTTGGGATTTTAACTGTGTACTGTGAATTGACTCCTATTACTTGACAATTCAGAAATTCTACATTCAAACTGAACTATTTCACATTTGTATTTTTCAGCATGGACTTAACATCACTCCAGGCTTTTTGGTCACTGCTTAATTGAATTTGTAAAGCTATCCTATCTGCCTTAAACTTACTTTGCTAAACTTACTTACAAGCACATTTTTGGTAAATTTGTCTTAGTATTACAGCTGTTGTTTTAATTGATGTAGTAGCATTTGGCTCACTGTTTCAGGTGATTTCTGATGAACGTAACTGAATACATTAGAAAATGCTATGTACTGAAAATTTTTATTTCCATTTATTTTCCATTTATTTCCATTTCGAGATTGTCTTCATTGGTGTAACCACTTCTGCTTTTGTTATGCTTTGTCTTAAAGTCCTCTGTCAACACTTGCTCTGCTCTCACATCACGAGAATGAGCATTAGAAATGTCATGCTTCTGTCACCTATGCTCGTTTCTGGTTACCTAAATGTAAAGAACTTTCCATGTTTTGGCATTTTACAAAATACGGTCAGTGATGTCTGTAGTCATTATGATCTACATCTAAAACTTTCTAAAACGATGTGGTGTGTCTGGCTAAATAATTGTCTCTGTAAACTCCTACATAGTTGAAGTTGTGGTAGCAGATGTGTGTTGCCTGTAGTTGGGCTTGTGTCAGAAGCATGAGTGAGTGGTTAGGACTGCCCTGAGATTTTTGTTGAGGATTTTATAAATACCATAGTTATCTGATTCAGACTCTCAGCACTGGGTTAACTGTTCTTTAATTGTTTGATTAACAAATTCTTTAATTTGTTATGACCATACCTTTTGGCTTTTGTGCAGGCTTTTTTCTTTTTTTTTTTTTTTTTTTTTTTTTTTTAATTGAACTGTTATTCTTGTTTGCTTTAAGATTTAACTTGTGGTCATTTAATGTTGGTTTTGTGTTGTTTTTAACAGGTCATCTGAACAAGAATCACCAAAGTGAGTTTTCTTTAAACTTCCTACTATAGAATCTCTAACTTTAGGATAAATAGTGAAATACATAACTTCAACTGATTTTTCAAGGTAGTGATCTTGTATGGTTAAAAGACAAACATGTATAAACCAATGAACATTGTAAAGATTTGTGGAATAAAAATATGTTTTGGGGTTAGGGTGTGGAAAGTATTAAGTTCTAATAGATCCCTAATCACTGTTAACAAAAAAGTTGGTTAAAAACTGTTGCAAAACTTCAGTGATACAAAAATCCACTGGTAATTTTATCTAGTGACTTTTTATATAGTGCCAGATGACATTAACTGAAAAATATGTTGTCATATTTTTCTGATGTTGGTTATTTTTTTTTCTACACTGAAAAATCATTATGATCTGTATTTTCGGCTTGTAAGTGAAATGGTTTTTTAAAATTACTATATTCTGGAAAACTTATTAGAATGTACTTACATATACAATGTTCTTCCTTGCTTAAGACTGACCTCACAGGAATCATGAAAAGTCCTGGGAGCTATCAGATAAAAACATCATTTTGACAGTATGATTCCTTTAAGTGTCATTATAGTTCACTACTTCAAAGTATTCTGAAATTATGGAGAGTGCCAAAGAAATAAGACTTCCCAAACACTGAAAACATATTTTCTGTAATAACTGAAAATTCTGCAAATGTTGCACAAAACACCTCATTCCCATTGCCAAGTACACACAGTACAACTGAAAGTCTGAAGTACTATGGCAAGAATATGTTTGCTTGATGGCATCTTTCAGAACATTTACATTCATTGCAATCAGATTTTCATAAGCTGAGAAATAAGTGTTTGCATTATGAAAGTTCACTGCAGTGCAAGTCCTGTGTGTTAAAAGCCTAAGCTACATTCCTCAATAGTGTAGTATTACTTCTTTATTGACAGAAGTTAGTCTGTATGAGTTTGGTCCAATTAAAGAAGGGGTTGGGTTGTATTAGAGGTCTGCATTTCATCCTTTTCATAAGAGAGAATGTAGCCAAATGAATATTTGAAAGGTCCTGGAGCACCATCAGGCAACTTGGCAAATTCTCACAGATCTGAGTGTTTTAATTAGTGAGTTTAGTTACCTTTGAATGTTAAAGTTACCTCTTGAATGCCAGATCTGCACCCTAATTTAGTTCTGGATTCTTCTACATGATTGTAACTACCTCAATAATACACTATATTAATTGTAATTAAATCTTTCATTGTCACTTCACTTCCTATTTCTCTGACATTTTATCACAGCTTTTCTGCAAACTGCCCTCTCCCACAGGAATAAGGTTGACATGGCACTCATAAGAGGGAGGATTTGGGGAAAAAAAAAATTGCTTTGCAGGAATGAGAGTAGAATTACAGCAACAGATTTGTCATGGGTAGAATTGGCAACTGTTGCTTGCAGCTCATCTCTCTTCACGTTTTACTGTGATTTCCTATACCACTGCAACAGTGCCTTTCACTGCTAAGAGCCAAATATTCTGCAAAAAATTGTTTTGCCACTCTAGTTTTGCTTTATCCATTCTTATGAATGTGGACTGATCAAGTTATAGGTTTAAATCACACTTCAATCCTATTTCCCTGCACCTCAAGAAGTGGTATTAAATCTAAGTATAAAGTTGTCTTGCCTTTTTAGCTGGGCAGTGCATTTGTAGATTTTACTATTTAATTTAAAAATCTGGATAAAAATACCTTTTGTAATATTTATCTTTTTTAAATAAAGGAATGTATTGGATAACAGTCCAACGCGGAGTTCTCTGACCCATATCTCACCTAAAGCCTTGGCTCAGTCTCCCAATGGAGTTGGCAACATTTCTGGCTCTTACCCTTTGGAAGGGGTGGATAAACAGTTCTTAGAAACATATGACAATGTTACAAAAAGTAGCTCAACAGAAGATTCCAATCAGTACTACTGTGATAAGGTATGTTAAACTATGTGCTTTTGAAGTTAAAACGAGTAGTGACTCTAACTTTGAACTGTAGTTTAAGAATGAACAAAAGTTATGGTTATGTATCAGGATGAGCATATTTTGTGCACTAATAAGAATAGATCTTGTCTTGCTACTCAGATTTATCCAAGGTTGTGTATACAGTATGATAGACAAGCTTACCAACTTCACTGATTTCCAAAGTGCCCAGTATTCCAGAAGCATCTGCAGGGGAAGTTCCCAGCAGAATAGGAATACTCATGTGATTAAATCTTATGTCCTCCAAAGGGAAAGATCAAATAACTCAAGTTGCTCTATGTCTGAATAGCAGGAACAACTTTGCTTTATCCCAGGCATGCATTAATAAGGATGGCTAAGCATCATTTGAATTCTGAACTGACTGGAAAGCAGCTGCTCCCCACTAATGTTATGGTAGTGGGTCACTTTTCCCCTGTCTCCGACCTGTTCTAGAGGCGTTTTGAAGAACTTCCTAACCTACCTGTCCATTAGCTGCTGACACCTAATCCATCTGCTGTATGGATCTGTTGCAGAAAAAAAAAATGCACTCATTTACAGGAGAAAAAATCAGGGGAAAAGTAGTCACTTCATAGTTCTTAGAGCAGAATCAATTCTACTCATGTGTTGCACCTAACATTTTGGTGACAAAAGATGGAAAATGTAATAGGAGTTATCAATTGAGAAAGCTAAGGTGAGAGTAGTGCTGTTAGTACAGAGCAACCAGAGAACGTTTGCTGTGATGTATGTTACTATTTTTACAATTTAAAAGATTACTACCATAGGTATATTCTACAACCATATTCTCTTCCTATTTTAAAGTGGATTTACATAGAGTATTTTTGTTCAACACATCTAAATTTGGATGCACTATTCCCTATTTTGCTGCTTTTTCTTTTAAAAATTAGAAAATCTGTGAGTTTTTTCTATATATTGCAGAATGACCTAATTGAAGGAGATTTACTTTTGGTGCGTATCATACCAGATGAAGATGGGAAGTTTGGATTTAATCTAAAGGTAAATAAGCAACCTTTTAGATATTTTTAAATACTTTTAAAATATAATGTTTTGGGTTTACTTTTTTATTTTTTAATGTAATGATTTAGAGAAAACAGTATATTCTGCAGGACTTTCTCATGTGTTTAGAAGTGACAGCCTAATCCTTAAATGCTAAAGCAACACTTACAAAAATAAGCCACTACAAGTTCTCTGGTTTTCAGTTGCATATACTATGACACATTTCCAAAGCAGGCCGCCTATTTGGCTGCATAAATATGAACATGAAAACCTAATTTAAGGCATCAACATTTGAAAAATTGGACCTCTGTATTATAAAACAATTTAAATAGTTTGTGTCATTCAATTTAATATATCCATTGTAAATCATATTGGAAAGCTGAAAATTAATTTCTGAAGAAAATGAAAATTACTATTAATAGCTGACTATTGTAAATGTTTTACATTCCCTCAGTGGAATTCCATTTAAGCAGAGTAGTGTAAATTAGCAGGGCAGAGTTTGATCTTTTCATCTTGGGCATTTATTGGTGGGGCAGTGATTTCTTCATCATTTGAAGAGAATAAGGGAGTACAGTTGTCTGGAACTTTGATCCTACCATATTCCTTGCACGTTCATCACAACACCTAAGACGACTATTCACCTTGCCAGCTCAAATGTTAAATTAGGCTTGCTTGAAGGACAAGGTTACAATAAATGTTGCATTTTATCTGTTTATTGCTTACTAAAATATATGGCCAAAGACACTGGATCTAGTCTACTGGAAAATGGTAGATATGAGACAACACAACCCACCCCTTAATCACCCATTTAGTGATGAAAATTCAGTCCTACCAATCCATCCTACCAATATGATGACAGAGTATAAAATGTGTATAGAAACAAAAGGAAGTGATTACTTATTTTAAATGTTGCTTATGCTTAATGATATATTTATGTTTGTTATTTACTTGACATTCCCCTAGGGTGGAGTAGATCAAAAAATGCCACTAGTAGTATCAAGAATAACTCCAGGATCACCTGTAAGTAAATTCTTAAGGCTTTTACTCTTACCTTTATTAATCCCTCCCCTCTCAGAGGTCTGTACAAATAGTAATTTGGACACTCATAACCAGTGTGAGATAGCAGCTGAGCTATTCTCTTTAGGAGTTGGGTTGACCAGTGGTTTCTTAAACCAGAGATTAAAGTATCTGGAAGTGTTACCCAAACAAGATACAAGTAGAAAGCATATTTGTGTCCTCTTTTCATCTCAAAAAGTGCATCTGGAACTGGAAAATGCTTGATGAGGGGCAAGGATTTGAATGGCATTCCATGAAGAAATAAATAATATGAACCCCTGCAGCCTAAAAAAAAGAGGTTGTTTAAGAGAGGTGTAGTAGAGATCTGTAAGATTAGGAGCACGGAGAACAGGGAATTCCAGCAGAACTATGGGCTATCAAATTAGGTTTGGGAAAGTCATGTTATTCATGTTTAGTGAAGCAGTTCCTCATGCAGAAGATGGTAGACCAATGAAACTCCTTGAAAAAGGATGCTGTGGTTAAAATAATTTTGTGGGTGGTCAGGAGAGGACAAATTCTTAGGGGGGAAAAACTGCTGTTATTGACTAGGCAAACCACAATAAACTGAGGAAATCCTCAGGGCTAAAAATATTTATAGGTTGAGAGGATAACTGGTAGGGGAGAGGGAGCAGAGTATGTTTGCTCTGTTTTCCTATTTTGCCATAGATTTTTGCTTATGGAAATATTTATGGACTAAGTGAAATATTTGTAAGAATCAGTACAATCATTGGATTCTTCTGTTGAATTGTAAAATAATAGTAGTAACTTAACATCTTTTTAACTTTTTTTCTAAATAATCAGTACATAAATTTGTAGGGATATTCGTTATCTCAAATTTTTTCACTCCTCCTTTTCCAAACTGTATTTCCAACTCTTATAAAGTAATTTTGTGCTGACTTAATATTGCTGACTTAATCCTAAAAATATGATATGCTCTTGCAGACTCTTTTTGAAATTTAATAACGAGTCACAGGACTGATATCTAAATGTCACGATGCAAATCAAGCTAAAACAGATTGCTTGAGAGGTTGTTTCTGTCACATTTATGATTTGTGGCTTGACTTATGCAGTGCATAACACTCCTTTATAAACTATAACAATTATTTTAATAAAAGTTTAGTAGGAATTTATAACTTAAATCTACAAAGTGAAAATAAAACAGTCCTTAAAACATTTTATGGTCAACCTAGCAAACTTTTTAAGGGTGATTTGAGATACTGAAGTTATATAGGGCAAGCAGACATTCCACTGTCAGAGAATGAAAGATGTTTCTCCAAAGGCAGTCATTTCCTTTGGCAGATTCAGATAGTCTTCTAGAAAGTACTGATCCTTTTTTTTCCTCCTGTATTGGAAAAGGAATGGACTTCTAACTTCCACACTTCATTTAAGTGTCTGCCATTGGTGGCAAGTTACTAATTAGACCTCTAGCCTAGTAAGCAACTAAGTGAGTAAATTCTCAGGATCACAGAAAAAATTGGAAACAGTTATCCAATGTAATATACTCAATAACAGTGCTATAGAAATCATGTCATGTTACCACAAGAAGAAAAAAATACACTTTTTTTCAGAACAAAGCACACTATTATAATTGATTGTATTTTTTACCATAAATGAAATTTCACCCACTCTTTATTGTTTAAAGAAATGCAGCTGATATTTGAAAGTTCAAATTGAATAGTCTATGGTATGCATTTTTACATTATTTTAACTCAGTGATGCCTTTTCTTCATTGCTACTATTCTGACTTGCTCTAGATTCACTCATTGCACTCAGGAATGCTGTTTGTAGTATTATTTGCCAAGATTATTTCGCAGGATTTTAGATCACTTTTTCCCATTTTTCTACAAAAAGATGTACTTTTATTGTAGAGGAAAGGAAGCAAATCTACTCAGCAAAAATAAGGCAGTATTTTCCTTTACAAATCCTAAAGTTCTTTTAAAAATTCCCCTCTAATAAAGCAGCATTCTTGTATGCTGGTCAAATTGTAGGACAGAGCAGCCAAAATTGTTGTGAGAACACATTATAGCTAAGGAACAACCATTTATTGCAACTGTTGGCTTTTTGTTTGTTTGTTTTAATTAAAGCCCTATACTGTTTTGTGTGGTTTTTTTCACAAATGGTATTTATGTCCTAAGGTGCTAAATGTAGGACTATGGTTTTATTTAATAAAGCTTCCAATTGAAAAAGACTGCATGCTTCTTTAAGCAATAACAAGGTGATTAGCATAAAATGAAGCACTGGATGTGTCAATAGCACAGGAAGCCTTTGACATAATTAATTGTGTGGAAAAACTTAGTATCTGAAAAAATCTACAAATTATGCTTGCATAGAAGGAATTAATTCTCATTCAAGATATATTTTATGTAGTCAGATGATTCACGTAAAAGAGCTGAGGCATTAAGATATCACATGATTAACAAAATTTTTTTGAGCAAAGATATTAATCTCTATCTGTAATAAAGAGTAATAGTCAGCAGCCAGCCAAGAAATCTTAATTATAGACAAATATAGAAGATCAGCAACCATTCTCTCCATCTTCTTGTTGACTTCTTGACTCTACTAGACTGGCTGGATGTAGTCTTTATATCTCCTATCTTTTCAAATATTTATATTTCAGAGAGAATAACTAATATCTCAATAATATTTGAGAGTTACATTCTTCAGTCTTGCCGTTTGTAAATTGTACACATTGCAAGGATGTTCCTGGGGAGCTGTGAATACCTAGTTAAATCAGTGTTGAAGAACACCATGGCTGTTCCTAATTCCCATTCTTTTTCTGTTTGTTATGAATCATTGTCAATCTTTCCTATCCTTCATTATTTTCTTTATTTCTATGGAAAAAGTTGGGGGAAATTATTCCTCCTTTAAATTTTTAAGCAACTTTTATGCTTGGAATTTTTTCCTCTTGCATACATCTTTCTTTTCTCTTACTTCTTTCTCCTCTCCTTTGTCTATTTTATGGCACTAAGACAGGTCTTAAGTTTTCTTTCCTTTTACTTTATTCTCTGGCACAAGTGGCTCTATGTTTATTTTCTTCTTCACATCCTTGCCTCTATTTTTTTTTTTTTTATTCTGCATTTTTCTTGTGGTTTTGGTTTTTTTGGGGTTTTTTATTGGTTTTTTGTCATTATGACTTCTCCTTTCCAACTCTTCCTAATTTTTGCTTGGTAATATAGTACGTCACTGACAAAGTTATGTTAGGAGTCATCAGTGCAAGGCATAATTTGGGTAGAATCTAATTTGAATGTCTTGTTCGCACCCAGGCAGGGGGGCTGGTGGTCGTTGTTTGGCAGGGCTAATAATATTGGATGAATAAAATTCAGGGAACCTGTGCTGGCATTAAGGAAATACAAGGAAGAACAATGAATAGAGAATAGCAGTAAAGTCTATGTCTTACTCGTACAACAAATGAAATGAAGTGTTTATATATCACTCTTGTGTCGCTTGGCACTTCTTAGACAAAATAAAAATTTGGATAGCAATGAAAATAAAATTGTTACACTACTTAACACTCAAAGATTGTAGAATCCTGCACATTCGTATTAGAGAATCACAGAGGATTGGAAGGGACCTGAAGGTCATCTTGTCCAACCCCTTCTGCTCAAGGGTCATCTGGAATCTGTTGTCCAGGACCGTATCCCAGATGGCTTTTGAATACTCCAAGGTGGGAGTCTCTACAGTGTTTCTGGGCAACCTGCAGTGCTCAGTCACCCTCACAGTGAAAAAGTGTTTCTTGATGTTCAGATGTAACCTCCTGTGTTTCATTTTGAGCCCATTGCCTCTGATCTTGTCACTGAGCATCACTGAGAGCCTGGCTTCAATTTCTCTGTGCCTTGCCCTTCAAGTGTTTATGTATATTGACAAGACCCCTCTGAGCCTTTTCTTCTCTAGGCTAAACGCTTCCAGCTCCCTAGCCTTCCATCATGCTAAGGGTGCTCTAGTCCTTAATCACCTTAGTAGTAGCATCATCATCATATTCTGGCTATAGCTTGAATGGCTTTTTGCTGAACTTAGAGCTAAGCATACTAAGAAATGTGGCAGAAAAAAAGCCAAACAAGCCCTGAAGTTCAGCAGTTAATCTAAACTGTGATATTCAAGACAATGCATTATGTAAGTTTTCATGTGAGATGGGGAAAACCTTGTTTTAGTGTTCCCAGCAGCACAGGTAGCAAAAGAATTTTTCACAAACATGGGAGACTTGAGCATCATAGTTTGAATACTTGCTTGCATCTTCCTGTTAAAACTTTCAGTAAATGAAGAGAGGAAGAATGTGCTCTATTTGTAGATATCATTTAATATCCACCAAACAAGAATCTGCTAAATAATGTGTATGGATTTCTTTAATTTTAAAAAGTACATGCCTAGGCCATGTCATGTTACTTAAATTATGTTCATGAAAATCATATTTGGACTTCTCAGTATTCACTGCATCAAAACTGAAATTGTTATCTTATGTGCCCAGAACACTTTTTCCAGAAATTCAGTGGTTGTTGAGGCTTGGAGTCTGATCTTTGAGAGCAATCTGATGGTGGCTGTTTGATTAACATGAATTCCTTTTATAGCTGTCAATATGCTGTTTAAACTGTTTCTTATCTTCATTGAGAGGCTTTGAAGCATGAAGAACACCTTTAGATCTGAATCCTATGATAGGATTTCTGATAAAAACGCAAAATCTTGTCAGGAGAACTGTGAAGACTTTGCTTACATGATGAACTTAATATCCTGATGTGTTAACTGCTTACACCACTGGATGCAATGACATTAATGTGTTTCTTTGGTCTTGAAACAGGCTGATAAATGCATTCCAAAGCTGAATGAAGGTGATCAGATAGTATTAATTAATGGCCGAGATATCTCAGAACACACGCATGACCAGGTGGTCATGTTCATAAAAGCCAGCAGAGAATCTCACACAAGAGAGCTTGCACTTTTGGTCAGGCGGAAAGGTAACTGGGCTAATTTTATTCACTTCTAATGTTTTTGAGACTGTTGCTCTTATGCTTGGCATTATACCCTCTTCTGCTTACATAAATGTGTTCTCAGTGCATTTGGAGTAGGTCTGTGCTAAAGCATAGGTCTTGCCACATTCAAGTTATTAGTACAAATACTTTAAACTCTATAGGTTTTTACCACTGCAATTAAGAATCTATCAAGTTAGAATTTCTTCTTATTTTTTAAGTCTAAAAATTTATGAGAATAAGTGGTCCCTTGAAAAAGGTTTTTGGTGGTTTGAGGTACTGGGGGTTTCTTATAAATAAAGCATAATTTCCCAAATCGCCAATTGCAGGTTTACAAATACTCGTGGATTGTCCCCCAGCACAATTGTATGATTAAACAAGTAGAATAAACTCTTTCCCACTTCAGTCTTACAACTGACATTTTGTGACAATGCTGAGATAAAGCTGTGCTGCCTGCTTGCTAAACTGCTGCCAGCAAAGAGGAGACATTCTTTGAAATATGCAGTCTTAAGCCTGTATATTTAAAATATGGGGAACTCCTCCACCTTGGCTTTTCTTTCTACATTTAAACACATGTAAATACCAAGAGGTTTCAGATACTGTGAAACTCTTAGTTTATTATTTACTTTCCTTAAGTCCTGTGCTAAGACCTGAAAGCACACTATTATGGAAGGGTTTTGTACAGAGTTTCTGATTACATTAAGACTTTAAAATCTGAAGGGGTTATGCATCGCTGGGAAACAGGAGGGAATGAAATTGCCTAAATGATATGTACTTTTGTAACACTGACTTTATTTAAAGCTTCTTGTGTTTCTAGGAAGACAGATGGGCTCTCATTCTTGTTTTCCCTATTGTAGGCCTTTCCATTGGCTTTATGCAGCATTTAGTCTTCCCTTAACTCTTCTAGTCCCCTTCCCACTTGCAGATAAGAGAAATCTGCTTTTATCTAAAGATAATCTGTGTCCTCATGCCAGTCATTTCTATAGGCTTGTGTATGAACAGCTTTTCATTTTCTGAAGTTTGGCAGGTATGAATTGTTCTGATATTGCAGAGAATAACCACAGCTGAACATGTTTGGTGATACAGTACATTTCATAGAGACAAATGCTACACAGATTACTTCACTAATGTTTGTCATGTTCTTCAATATATTATCAAGGAATGTCATAGAAAACAGACTATTAATTTTTTTAAAGTTTTTTTAGTTAGTTCCTTCAGTGTTAGCATAAGAAATTGCAAAAGATAATTCAGTTGCTTCTCTAATGGCAAGGGAGTATTTTATATAAGAATTTTTGCATTCGTTTTGCTGTTGGAGGTCCATACTTATACAAGTTTCTTGTAGAGATATTCCATTAGTTATACTCTAAACTTTTTTTGGCAAAACTCCTTTGCTCTTTTCACCATGGTGGACGCAGTGATTCATTAGTCTATTTAGCAGGTCATTCTGTAAGACAAGATTGCAAAAGCTCCTTGTGCTTGGAATTCAATTTCTTTGCCTTCATAGACAGGCACTTTGAGTTTCTCTTTCAGAAAGGTCATAAAGACATTTCGCTCCTAGTAATTTCTATAGTAATATAGTACAAAGAGGAATGCAATTAAATGTGCTACTATTTACTTTCCTGAGGCTTTGGAAACTTCCTTGTTCTTTCAAGCTTGTAAATTTTTATATCTGTTACAAACACATTAATGCTGTGTGCAATGGATTTTAATTGTCTACACACCTTTCAGTAGTTAAACAGTTTGTGGATTCCAAATCAGAGGATGAAGCTGATTCCCACAATCTCGCGGAATCTATTCTTCCTGTCTGTTCTGAATATGGTGGTGATACACTGGAGGAGTCTATGGAACAACTAAGAAGAGGGCTAGAAAGTGGAACTGTCCTTATTCAGTTTGAGGTAGGTAATACTCAGTTCTCAAATGTCATTAATATAGACCAATAACTGTAATCAGCAAGTAATGTAGGGGCCTAGTTAATTGCAAAGCTCATTGTTCCTGTTCAGTTCTGTCTCAAGGGAGCAACGTTTTCACTTGCCCATCAGTTTCACCCTTCACCACTTGGAAAGGAAGAATGAGTTATCAGTCTTACACAAAATATCATCTGCTGAGAAAAATATATTTGAATTAACATGTTTGTAGCTCAAATACCTAAAGCTCACTAAATTAATATTTTTTCCTTAGTTATTTTATTCAGTAGAGTAGTGGGGTTTTCACAGAGGTCAGTCTTGTACTTTGTTTCTTTTTCTATGTTCTTGAATGTGTTAGCAAAGAATGTAATTGAAAACTGACTAATAAAATGTTTTTATAATTTATTATGTTAGTTCCTTCCTTTTTAGTGTAAGAAATTACAAAAGATAATTCATCTGCTTCTCTAATGGCAAGACAGTACAGCGTATACAAGTTTGTGCTTGTTTTGCTGTAGTAGATTCAAACATTTATAGTAACTCTGGAGAAACTCTAGTTATTATGATTTATAAATTTGACGTTGAGTTCAGGAGTAACCATTTCTACCATTGAGAATTTGTAGAACAGCAATAAAATTTTCCCCCATTTTGATATTTTTTACTTCACTCTTTTTCAAATGCTATAAAATTTAATGGTTGGGGCTGAAGAGTTCTGATATTGGTAATTGTACAACCACTTTTTTTTATGAAATTTACTTTGTTTCCAAGATTTCTGAGAGTTAAACTTACCCTTTTCTTAAGAAATTGTAGACTATGGTTCATAGCTGCTTTCCAAAATCCACAGCACTGGATACAATCCATCAATTGTAATGAGTGCTGGCTATTGAAACAGTAGCTCAAAAGACGTGAACTGACCTTTCAGTACTTTCTTAATTGTCAAATTTGTTGACTAAATTTGTGCACAATTTCCTGTAATAATCTTCATAGGATATTTGCTCCTGTATGACTTTCATCTCAGCATTTATAAAAGGACATTACAGAAAAAGCTCAAAACCCTTTTGAAATATAATAAATTTAGGGGACAGCTTAGTGGCCTTGATTCTTTGAGTTCATTGTTTCATAATCAGAGACAATTGCAGTGTCACCTCATCAGCCTTGATGACTCTCAAACTCTCCATTCACTTTAGTAAAATAGTAAATAATTATCCAGTAGACTATGAATAATCAAGTTTTTCCAGAATATATTCCTCCATTTAATCAGAATTTAACAAGTCTGTCAATAGAAAATGGCTATTTGCCAGGCAACAATAATGAAGCTGGAGAATGATTACTTGACTTTAAATTATTCTTTCTTGTTTTCCAAAAAAAATGAAAAATCACAACTTGGCTCTAGTAAAGTGGAATTTGAGCTATAACTGATAGAAGCTGTTCTATTATATATTTTATCAAGTTTTCACAGGGCTTGTTTATGTTGTATAAATTGAAAAATTAGGTGAGCTGTGATACAGAGTCTTAGGATTCAGTAAATCTTACAATAGAATAAGCTTTTTGTGTGTTGTTTTTTTTCTCTCAATCAAAGTAGCTTTCTATTTATTTAATTCCATTTTATGTATGGAACCATATTCAAAATCTTCATTAAACACCTAAAATATAATATGCTCTTTGGTTAGTGTTCAGTGAAGTACATAAAACTCTGCCACAACGAGGTTAGTAATTAAATTGTAAGTTGCTTTCACATATATTTAATACAGAAAAACTGTCATTGTATAATTACATTGCTTAATTCTTTGTTGTTTTCCCCCCTCTGTACCTTTTATTGTCTGATATGATACACTTAGAGTGGTAAATCATTAAATTTGGGAAAAACCTCTAAGACTATAAAGTCCAACTATTAACCTTGCACCAACCCTGAAATTTCGATTTACACTTCTATGCCCACATTCACTCCAGATAAAATTTGCAACAGAGCAGATGGCCCAAAAGAGACAGGGTCACAGGTTAAGAGATTGTGATACATTGAAATGTTGTTTTCTTCAGGTACTTAGAGGATTGCATAGGTTAGGTTTAGTCCAGAGAATAAAAATCTGTCTGAAATTTTTGTATTACAGTTCATTCCATAAAATATGCTGCAACTAATTGTTTTTCTTCTGATGTCTTTCATTGCTCCCTTGTTTTACCATCAACTACTATTTTCCTTCCAGTCCATGGTTTTATAAGAAGAAAATTGCAGGCAAAGCAGTGTATTTCAATGATTCTCCCATTTCCTTTTTTTTCTTTTTTGTCCTAAAAATTCTTCTGGATATCATGACGAGATAACATTGTTAGAAAATCTTGTCATGTTAAATGCAAAAATCTCTCAAATTATTTTTAGGAAGGATAGGAAAAATATTAAAGAAAATAATTATTTTTTTCAGACTATATATTTTCATGTGAGTGTATTTAATTTGTGTATAGCATAATCACATCCCTCAAAATTGTATGATTTTTCATTCTTTTTTTGCAGCAACTTTATAGAAAGAAACCAGGGTTGGCTGTTACATGTGCAAAGGTACCTCAGAATATGGACAAGAATAGATACAAAGATGTTCTACCTTGTGAGTCTAAAGTACAGTTCCTGCCTGTTTTGCTTTATCCTTTATATGATAGCTATTGAAACTGTTGTATGAAACTTACTGATTGAAGATTTCATTATATAATTAAAGTCATATAATTGTTCATTTTATGTTCTAAAATGTAATGTATTCTGGTTTTTATTCTGCTGTTTGTGTCTCTGTAATTCCTCAGTTGTTTTTTAACTTAATAGAAGGGAAACATGCCCCTTAATTTCTAATTTTATTCCCTCTTTTTTTGTGTGTGTGTCTGTGTGTACAGATGATGCCACAAGGATAATATTGCGAGGAGATGAAGATTACATTAATGCAAATTACGTGAATGTAAGTCATACAGAGACCTACCTTTACTCGCTCTCTGTATTACTAACACAGACTGAATTTGACTTTTTTAAGGAAAAAGGATATTTTCTATTATATTTTGGGGATTTGCAAATGTAAAAGACATAAAGTTTCATAATGTAAAAGATGAAGTGTCTCTTGTGAAACAAGTGGCCATCCTAATACACAGTAGATGCAACCATGTGGTTGGTATAAACTTTGATATGTGCGGAGTCTTTAACCAGTGAAAATTGTTTCACCTTTCCATGGGCTTCAAATGCTGAGGTTGTATCCTTAAAATTAAGCCCTTTTCTCTCTAGAACCACTTATGGCCTACCAACTATGCTATGAAGGATATAGAAGATAAACCAGAGAGATAATTGCTGTAATCAATCAAGTGTAGACTGGGGGTCAGGGAAAAGAGGGGAAAACGTGTATGTATTTGTGTCAGATCCATAGGTTAAGCACCTAAATCTGAGTTGACTATTCACTTACTCTGTTTAGTATCAGGCAATAAACAGCTTTTGCTAGTGTACCTTTGGTGTATATGCCCTGCCATACTTCCTTACTAAATATTAAAGAAAATCTGGAAAGCTTTGCAGTTTCAAATTTTCAAATACGTTTTCACTAATCATCTTCTATTCAGAGTTCAGCATGAAGGACTACAGAATCTGTACTTTACATCTGGTTTAAATTAATGATTTAACATTTTTTCACAAAACAAGTGTGATCTTGATTTTTCTTATTACTTATTACTTACTGCATTAATCTTCCCTCAAAACTTCCCATTTGAGTGAAATGCTGATTTAAAATAGTATTTGTGCAATGAGGGCAAACTTTACATAGGAGTTTTCTTCCACTTCATAGATGGAAATTCCTTCTGTGGGCATTGTGAACAGGTACATTGCTACTCAGGGGCCTCTTCCACACACATGTGCACACTTCTGGCAAGTAGTCTGGGATCACAAGTTGTCATTGATCATCATGTTAACAACTCTTACTGAACGAGGACGGGTAAGTGGCCAGGTTCTTTGTATGCTGAAGAAATGTACTGTACCTTTGAACTTTTTTTTCATTATTATGATTAAATAACCCTCAAATAGGCCGACTTATTCCACTGAATAATTGTTCTGAAAGCCAGGCTTTCTGAATTACTTAGGAACAGAGTCTGCAACTTGCTTTTTGTTTTGCTACTTTGTAAACAAACCAGCTGTCTGATAAACAGAAATCACTGCATTCACTCTGTTATGCTGAACAGACAGGTACCGTGTGTTGTCATTTTTCCCCCGAGTCCTGGGCTCCATGTGGCAGTTGCTCTCCGAGCCATTCAGCAGATGTCTGGAAGCATTGATCAGGCTGAGCAAACCTTGTAGTCTGGCATTAAAAGAAGTCTGCCATCATGCTATTTAGTAGTAGTGGTCAGAGTTTAACCTGCTTATTTTTATTTACATTTTAGGTTCTTACCTAGAATCTCTCTGATAATTCTTTAATCATGTTTAAATACACTCTGGCACTCCATTACTTTCCAAATAGTACAGTGAAAATCTGGGGTTTTTTTACTTTGATTTAACATATCCTTTGTAGTTTTAAAGATTAAGTGTTTTAGATTAAGCGTAAGGGTAGTTTGAAGTTTTAGAAGGTGAAAACTGAAACAGTTGGTTTTCGTAAGAGGTAGAGAAGGTAGAGAAGCTCTTGCATGCCTACACTGCAACCTTTATCTATATTTCCTATGTGATCTATCCTACACTATGAAATTTATCTGGCATCCCAGTCAAAACCCAGTGTTTTTAGAAAACAAGGCAGTGAATATTGAAGGTCCTAAACTGCATGAAGATTGACATGTAAGGAAGGACAGTTAAGCAGCCATCAGATTTTAATCATGGTCAGGTTACATAGCTGTTCATGGAAACGCATATTGAACATCATCTGACACAAGAATTCTCCCTTCATCTTTTGGCTGTATTGCAGTCAAAACAGCTTGCTGCTTTCATTTCCTTGTGTTGAGGAGAAACACATATTAGTAATAGTCTGTAGTTTGCCCAGTCAGTTGGAAACTTCAAGGCAATTGTTGATAGCTTCTAATCATCCTGCTGGTACCTTTACACCCTAGACACTTTTTCTGAGATTTGTTCAATTTCAGAAATTATTTATATTTGGCCAATTTTTGGGTGAACTTTCAGGAATAGGAAAAATGTATATTTTTGTCAAGAGGATCCCCATTGGCAAATGCCAAACCTTTTTGCAGTCCCTGGAGATTTTACACTCCAACCTGTCTCTTTCCAATGATCTTAAGATTTGTATTATAGAATTTTTTTTTTCTCCACATTAATGTTAATTTTTTAGAAATGGATTCATTATTTTGGCTTAAATTTGAAAAGGAAAGTATTTCAGGTAATTTCAGTTATTTTCCACAGTAAAAATTTCAGGCATGATGGTTATAATTTGGATTTCAAGCCACTAAAAATTGTGTTCTATTAAAGGTAGAATTAAGAAATTTTAACATTTCAAAATTTCCAGCTTTTGCTGGTCTGTGTCAGTTTAAAAGTTGCAGACAAAACCAGCTTTGAACTTTGCACAGTTACAGTGTCACATCAGTTAAGTTTTGATTGTTTCCTTAGGCGGAGATTCCACAGCTGCATAGGGTTTCTTGTTTCTATGCTTGACCATCCTCATGGGAATTTTTTGCCTACATCTAATCAGAATTTCCCTTGTTACATCTTTTTTCAATTGCCTCTTGACCTTTCCTTGTTCACTTTCAACAAAAGTGTGGCTCTGCCTTTGCTATAACCTGTTATTAGATGGCTAAAGGTAGTTATAAATTTACCCTCTACACTTCTCTTCTTATGATGGAATAAATCCATCTTTCTCCTCCTACCTTATGCCTTGAGAAGTCACTTTAGCAATTGCAGATGAGCACCAGACAAAGCATCATGCATCCAAACCTGAATATTTATTAAAAATCACTAAAACAGATATTTATAGCGTACTTTGTCCTGTTGTTTTTCAATTTGGATGCAAAAATCTCACCAGCAAACCAGAACAGATTTTATACTGCTCCTTGAGTTCCCTGAACCACGGTATAGGATGGAATGCTGGAAACAGGAGTGCTTATATACAATCTTGACATGTGCTTAATTTTCCTTACAGACCAAATGTCATCAGTATTGGCCTGATCCACCAGATGTAATGGAATATGGCAGCTTTCGAGTCAGATGCCACTCTGAAGACTGTACAATTGCTTATGTTGTTAGAGAAATGGTGATTACAAATGTTGAGGTAAATGTCCCTTATTTTTAATTATCCCCAAGCAAGCTGAATGAATACAGGTAGAGATAGGTAAAGACTCTGTGTTTGATAACATATATTGAAGGACTGTAATTTTTCAAGGTTTTGGGTTAGTTGTTTGATTTTTTTATTCTCCCACATTTTCAAACTGCCCTGTCATTCTTTCATCTGATAAATTTTACTAAGTAAACAAGAGGCTGAAGAGCAGTGCTGCAGAAGGGTGCCTGGTGGTCCTGGTCAATGGTAAGTTGAAAATGAGTCATCAGTGCCCTGGCAGCCAGGAGGGCCAACCATGTCCAGGGGAGCATCAGGGAAAGCATCGCCAGTCAGTTGATGGAGGGGATTGTCCTGCTCTGCTCTGCGCTGGTGCAACCTCAGCTGGAGTTCTGCGTACAGATTTGAGCACCGCAAGAGAAAAATTACATTAAACTATTAGAGAGCATCCAAGGAAGGACCATAAGGATTGTGAAGGGTCTTGAGGAGAAGCCATATGAGGAGTGGCTGGGGTCGCTTGCTCTGTTCAACCTGGAGGAGACTGAGGGGAGGCCTCATTGCAGACCTCAGCATCCTCATGAGGGGAAGTGGAGGGGTAGATACCAATCTCTGTGGGGACCAGTGAGGGGACTCAAGGAAACAGCACGAAGCTGAGTCAGGGGACGTTTAGGTTAGATATTAGAAAAAGGTTCTCCACCCAGAGGGTGGTCAGGTACTGCAACAGGCTCCTCAGGGAAGTGGTCACAGCACCAAGACTGTCTGAGTTCAAGAAGCATTTGGACAAAGCTCTCGGGCACATGGTGTGATTCTTGAGGTGTCCTGCACAGGGCCAGGAGTTGAACTTGATGATCCTGATGGGTCCCTTCCAACTCAGTATATTCTATGATTCTATGAAATTATTCAAACGAAATGAAAAAAATTCAAGATGTTTAAAAATTGATTGAATTTCATCCATTAAAGAAACGTTATATGATTGCTATAATGAGTGAGTGTAAGAACCATGAGAGAGTACTTACATCTTATAAACAACCCAGGTCAAATTAATTAAAACAATTCCTTGTGTCATAATATGGATTTTTTAACATGATTGTGCAGGCAGTGACAATGTAAATAGAAGGATTTGGGATGATAAGCTTCTTTTTCAATTAAAATCTATCACTTTCCATGGATGTCATAATAATGGAGGGTATTATTTGAAGAGGAAGAAAAGAAATGGATGCAGTAATTCAAACAAACTGAAGATTAAGCATAAATTCATTTCACTAAGGAAGAATGTTGTAGTTTGCTGAAAGGAGGAGGTAAAATTGTAAGATGAAGAATGACATCTCTCTGTTTATGACTGACCAGCATGTAGGCTTTTTAATGACTGTGTTAAATTGATATTCAATGAAATAAAGGCAAAAATATAAGTAGTATACTACTAGCACTTTCTGCTATAAACAACTGAAAACAGAATCTCTATTTTTTTATACATCTTAATTGTTTGGATTGAGGCTTTCCACAGCTTTGTCTTCTTTGCCAGATAGATGTCATACAACAGTTCTTGGGGGGAAAACTTGAGTTGGCTTATGTTAGGGGTTCTTAGATTGGTTCACTGAAACTTTTGCTTCTGCATTTAAACAAAACCTTGTGTTTTTTTCTTTCTAAGTAAATCTGTGTAGATTAAAACACAAATAACTAGAAAACTACACTGAAGCTTGAGGCATACCTGGAATAATTGACAAACACCTTGTTTGTGGATAGTTAGGGCATGCAACAGAAAATGAAGGTGATCGCACCAAAAGCAGCAGCTCTGGGGACCAAGTGCATGTTCTCCCAGTATATTCTCACTCTGAATAACTCTTACATAATATGCTTGTCTTAACTTAGTGTCTGTGATCTATTTAAATAAATGCAACTCACTGTATTTGATTCTGTAATTATAAGTAGAAATTATGTTAACTCTTTCCTTTTTTTCTGAGCTTGTAAAATGACTTTTTGATGCTACAGATCACTACTAGTGATTCTCAGGTGTGCCACTAGCACTTATCCATGTTGTATGGCTTTAAGTTCTCGAAGCAGGTGGAAGGCAACTGGATACTCACTCTTGGATAGTTTTAGAATGAATCAAGGATGCTATACTTCAAATGTCTCTGATTTAAGAGAATCAACTCAAACAGTTATGTGTAATTGCTGCATTATCTCATTTCCCTTTAGAAAAGATTCTGATTAAACATGCACAGATTTCCAAAGGAGAGCTTTTTAATTACATTTTCTTGACATGTTTACTTTGTTTTTTTTTAATCTTGACATTTCAGAAAAAATGTGAATTGTAATTGTTTGATCAAGGTCAACTGTTTCTACTCAGCAAAGCTGAGTAGCAAAAGACCATACTTTTTCCTGCAGAAGTTCTGGTCACTGCGGATCTTTTGATGACCTGGATGATAGACCCCCAATGCAATTCATATTACAGGGAGCTTGATCATTAATGTTAGATTACGTTGTCCCCTTGGGCCTTATGCTATACCTTTTAACTGTGATTGCTCAGGCTGTTCCTTCAAGATTCAAAGTATGAGCTGAGTCATTTATCTTTTTGTCCCTGGAGGCAATTGTAAATTTCTGCAATTGCTTTGACTGGAATTGCGTGTCCTATATTTAGTACATAGGCAGTAGCTATTCTGTCTTTTGTGTCCTAGTGGCCCGCTCCCTGGTAGTAGAACCACTTCCTCAAGCAGAAGAGGAAAGCAAGCGGTTGAAGGCATTCTATGTTTCAACAGCTGTATGCTGAAGAGAAAAATAAAGACATCTTTTGAAGTCACTAACATCACAAAAACATTCTCATGTGAACTCCTAGGGAGAGGCCAGCTTTTATATACTAATCTAGTGATAAAGGAGAGTTTTATTTCAGTAGGGTGTCAAATGCTAAGTGTGGTAATGGACATGAATAAAACGCAGGTCTAACTATTGCAAAATGTGTGGAAGAAATAAGGGAACATGAAGGCTTGTCTCAGTTTGTAAAGAGCAAGATCCTCATTGCATGATGCAGCAGAGCTCAGGAGCATCTTAGGTTTTATCCTTCCTACCCTAAGTATTAGTTACATCTGTCATGTCTCAGTTGAGCCCAATCTGCATGCAAAGATGATTGAGTGGTTTCATAATCAAAGCTAACAAAAACCTAAACTGAAAGAACTTCTGTAAAATAGTTTTTATTCTGAGGTATAATTGAACCAAAAAAGAACTCTTCATGCAACAGAATCTTATAACTAATTATATTGCTTCCATGCAGAAAAGTATCCTTCTGTGAATCATACAGAAGTCATTCCTATATGTAAAATGAGCATGCATGAATGATATATGTTTTCTGACAGAAACCAGATTTAGTAAACGTTGCAGACAACTTTATTATAGCTGAATCTGTAAGTATGCACAGACATATTTACAACAGATTGTGTAGCCCCAAGCCTCTGTTATTTTGATATTGATCTCAATACTTCTTCTGCTGCTCGCTGTTGTTTCTTTCAATGTGTTCTAAACTATTATATTGTACTATTATGCTTATGCCTTGTATCATTTTACCTCAGGTAACTCAGTGATGTCAAAGTGTAATAGGTCAATAGTCAATAAAACAAAAAAATTAAAATCTGTTGAGATCATGGAAGCTAAACTTGATATCTCATTTATTTAGAAAACGTTATGCCTCACCTGTGCTTTCTAAGAATTATGTCATCTTCATACTTTACACTGAGTTTTAAAATGACAAACATTTTCAACGTCTACCTCTTATTGCATCTGCAGAATGCACTTACTGTGAAAAATGTGACTTTTATCTAGTAAATATAATTACAGAAGTTCTAATGCTGGGCATTTTTTTTAAAACTTTACTGTATTTTAGACAGAACAACAACACACCGTCACCCATCTCCAATATGTAGCTTGGCCTGATCATGGCGTTCCTGATGACTCCATGGACTTCTTGGAGTTTGTGACCTGTATGAGGCCAAAGAGAGTAAAGAATGAGCCAGTTCTTGTTCATTGCAGGTACTTGTGTTTTAAAATTCTCATTATAGATCTGCTTCAGCCTTAGAATAAGCCTTTCATGTGAAAAGTCTGTCTGCAAGACAGGAGATTCCTTGAGTTAGATGAAAATCTTTAATTGTGCAATACAAGTGTTCACTGCTGAAGACAGAAACTGATGTTATATGTAAACGATAAGTTTCCTTTGTCTCCCTTTCTCCTGCAACCTTTTGGTGAAATGGTTTAGTCATGTAATTATCACAGAGCTGATAATCTACAGTGTAATTTGTTCTCCGTTTTTTATCCTCTACCACTGTCATAACCTCATTTTAAACAGTACTGTAAAGGCTTTTTTGCTGCTTTTCGAGTGCCTGTCATAAAAGCAGTCAACTAGATCTTACCTTCTTTTAAAGTCAAAAATACCAAACCAATACATTTAGATTTTTAAGCAGTTATAAATGTTTAAAAATGCATTTAAAGTGAGGTTTTAGTTTTATTTACGTTAAAAAAATGTTTTCTCTTTAGTAATTACCAGAAAATATTACTGAATTTGCTGTGAAAATAAACTTTGCACTCTGCTTAAATTTTACTAAGGTCTCTCTGTAATTCCTGAGGTTGTTTAATGTTCTAGTATTAAGACTATGATATGAATCTGGTGCATTGCAAAAACCTAATTTTATAGACTATTTTCCTGTTACATTTCACAGTGCAGGAATTGGTCGCACTGGTGTATTGGTCACTATGGAAACAGCCATGTGTTTAATTGAAAGGAACCAACCTGTTTATCCACTGGATATTGTAAGAAAAATGCGAGACCAACGAGCTATGATGGTGCAAACATCGGTAAGTGGTGGAGATGAAGCCTCATTTTCTGTATTTATACTGCACTTGCCAAGTTTTAAAACAGATCCAAAAATTTTTTAGATATAGGAGTCTAGTTGTATGCGTCTTCAGTTGCCATTATATTTCAAGCTTCCTAAATTCAGCACAAGGTAGTATGGTGGCAAAGGCTGCTTTGCTAATGAGGAATGTATTTAACTTTTTTGTAAATATTTCTTACCTTGCTGTGAAAAGATAATTGATTTCCATACATTGCAAGTAGCTAGAATGCCCGAAATCAGACTTGCACTATTGTCTGTTCACAGTTCTTTATCTAAATTCTCTGCAAGAAGCTAGAATAAATTTTTACTTTTCATTCTAGTACTGAGCATTATAGAAAATTATTAAATTGAAGGTAAAATTAAAGTGTTTGTGGTATGTTGTGCTGTAAGAAGTAAACGCGCTGGAAAAATGAACCCAACTCAAGAGAGATTATAAGTCAGAGTTACAATTTACTAAAAAAGATTATAATAAATGCAATGCTAGAGAGAAAAACTGGTTTTCACCCTCAACAAACAGATAAATAACCCAGCACCCGGGGACAAGAACAGAGCAGTGTTTCGTGGCCCAGTGGGTGCAAAGTGAAAGGAAAGGAAAACCTGTTAGTCTGGGTGATAGTTGTAGTGCTGTTAAAGTAATGATCACAGTCTCTTTGAGAGTGGCAGTTACAGTCCTGTTGGAGTTTTGGTCCTCCTCTGGATCCAACGAGTGGTACCAGAAATCCCAAAACCCCAAGATTATACATGCTCACATTCAGGTGGGAATGCCCAGTACCTCCCCCAGGGCAGAGCGTTTCACAATGGGTGATCCAAGTCTGTGAGTCATGGGATATTTTTGGAGTCTTTGATGGTCTAGGTCATTGCAGCTGCCTATTATGCCAGTCCAGTGTGGCCCATTGGCAGAGATGACCCTTCAGGCTGGGTGTGAAAGTGCTAATGCCTCCCCAGAGGGGAGTTATCACAGCTGTTACCACAGTTATTAGTGTGAAGACAAAGAAAAACCCCTCACAGGGTTTCTTTAACACCCAGCTTGTAGCGGAAGTGTCATGTGTGCCCTGGGCAGCTGCTGCAAATGATCCCTCAGAAATGACATAGAGGGTATAGAATACACAGTTTTGATTATTTCCACATAGTGATATACTCCCAGCCTCTGTAACTAGAACACATGATTTAAAAGGAGGAAGTGGCTTCTCAACAGGTCACTTTAGAGTAGAAATTCTGTAAGAACATTTTTTATTTTTATTTTTTTAATTTTGCCACTACTCAGTTTGGAAAAACAAATGGCGAGTTAGGTAATATTAGTAACTGAAGAATGAAAGTAGACAGTGATATTAAGATGAAAGTGGCTCAAAGACAACTTGAGATCATTAAGGCAGTTTTGTGTCAGCTTTGGAAATGAATATATTTCAAGTTAGAGACCAAGGCTGAAGGATGAGAGACTGTTCTTTCTCAAGGAGAGGTTGGATGATAAGAATACTATGTGTGGGTTATCTTGGAGAAGTAAATGTCCTATGAGAAATGGAAGCAAAGGGGTTTAGACCCACAAAGACAACAGTTAAACTGGACATGTTTGTCTCTCATCTTCAAAAAGAAAATGCCTAGGTTTCCATTTGATCAAGGAAAAGGTAAATTATGAAGAAAAATTCTGTTCATTAACAGGCTAATGACTGCAGGAGGCAGCATTCGAATTACCTAGATGGAGAGGAAAAGGGATGTAAAGGCATCAAGATTTACAGTTGCCTGCGTAACGTTAGAGTGCTCAGTAAGCAGAGTTTGTTCATGCATGCTGCTGGGACACTCATTGCAGTATGAGTGCACTCTCTGGGAGAGCATCAGGACTGTATGGTTCAGAAGGGATTGGTTTGAAGGGTCCCCTGCCTGTTCCTTTCAGAAGTGGAAGCTTAAATGATGACAAAGGTTGGCGTCAAGTGAAGTTTAAGGCAGCTGAATGTTCATTTCTAGAGTTGCACCTGTCTACACCCCTGAGTTTCTAAAACCATCTGAGCAAGTTCAGGCTTAAACAGTCTAGAGCTGGTGCTCTTTTTGAAAATCAGATATGAGAACCTGAAGTAAACTTCAGGTTGTTAGAAGGCCGAGTTCCTTTTGTTAAAATGGAAATCAGCAAGACTGTCCTTACGCTCCACACTTTGACATAACTCTAGAATACAAGGAATAGCAATAAATACACCGACAGTCAGACACCCTGTGTGGAAAATGAATACCTAGAATAGGGTTCTTTACCTTGCTTGCTGTGTGTTACAGAGTTTGCTGTCAGCACAGTCAGGAGAGGGATGATCTGTAGCAGCAATACTGTGAAACTAAATTCACTTGTTATTTCCAAAGCAGGCAGATATTGCTGTGAAAAGCCAATGAGCAAAATAGGCATACTGTGCTGTAAATGAGACACAGAAGCAAGCACTCAGCTGTGAGAAAACAGACTACCAAAGAGCTACATATTAATATTTCAATCTATCCTGGGTGCTCTGTGGCATTCCCATGCTTCCATTCTAGCTAGCCCCACTCATATTTGGTCATATTTGATATTCAGCTTAGGGCTTCTGGGAGAAGGCATTAGAGATGATTCAGTTATAATAAAGGGATTGTTCAGTTTTAATAGCCTTGCCTGAAGCATGTTCAGTTGCCCTGTGGGCATTGTGTGTGTGCTCCAATTCTAAGATAATACACTTCACCAGATGCATGTTGTGAGTTAATATCAGACAGGGTATATTCAGTAAAAATGGACCCATCAGAGCTATCAACTGATCAGTTTAGTGCATGTTTTTAGTCATATGAAAGCTTTAGTTTCTCAAAGACCAGTACTTTGGTTACCAGAAACAGCAAAACAAAAGCTTCAACCAAAATGATAAAGCTACAATGAAATTGGTATAACACTATGGCCTTTCATTAAAAAAAAAAATAAAAAAAATTATGTTCCATTAAAAAGAAGTTAGAGAAACTAAACAACACAGAAAACAGAGCTTTAGGATGTACATAATAGAACTAGCTACCAGCTGACTGAGCAGTAAGAATACATGCAACAAATAAGAGAAAACAAGTAGTCAGAGACTGAGTCAGAGTAAGCAATGTTGAAGTGCTCATTCTTTTATTTGTTCAGTAACTTGATTACTCAAGTTAACAGAACTATTGGGCAGAGAGACAAATACCACACCTGGCTTGTTCAAGCAGTAGAAATATGGAAATTACTATAACAATGAAGAGAAAAATCAAGTTAATTAAGAAATAAAGACAAAAGAACAGAGTGATATTGAAGGTGGGAGTAATTGACTGAAAGGTTAAAAGAAAAGGCAGGAAAATTGAGATGCAGAAAATTCATTTCCACCTCCCAGTTTCCCTTAAGTTTTCTGTCTCTAAGAGAAAATATGTTACAGTTCATGGACAAGAATAACACTCCTAACTGCTGGTATTTACATGCAACCTAAGGTCCTTCACAGTCCAAATATTATCTTTTAGCCCTGCCCTTTGAAGATAGTGGGGAAATGTTCCCAGGTGTTTCTGAAGAGTTGATGAGAGCTGACAATACAAGGGCAGCTGGGAGAACATTTCAAAGATAGAAAAAGGGATTTAAAAAATGTGAGGCTGTTCTTCTCTGAGTATAATGTGGAGCTTTGGAGGAAGGTGTTCATTTGGGAGTTTTGACAATGGTGCTTTCAGAGGAGAGAGAAGGATGCTTTCCTCTTTTCAAGTTCTTTAAAATTTCAATCATCTTGCATTCTCAGGATTGTGTTAGTCATATAAATTTTTTCAGTCTATGTGGATTTTTAGTCCTATTGATAATGTCTCCTTGTATCACTTTTCAGAAAGAGGCTTGCAAGCTAATTGCTTTTAACAAGTAATTACATCACAAGGTCATGGAAGGAATAGTCTTTGTAATAGTATAATGCAGAAAAGAAACACTAATTTGTGAAGACTTTATAAGATCTAATTGAGATTAAAATGTTGGCTGATAAAAGAATTAATATGCCTGCTGCTCTTCAAAACTATTGAAAAGTTTTGATCCCCTTCAGTTGCAAAAGAAGATATGTGGTCTGATCAAAAATTGGAAATTAAGTGACTCCTTCTTCTGCAGTAGCGTGGTTTGGGAAAAAAAGTAGGTTTTAGTTAGGTAGTTGCACCTATATATCCTGTATGGTAACTTTAAATGTGGTTTTGGTCACATAACTTAGATGTGCCCAGTAATATGTAACTGCAGGATTGGCAAGCTCAGAATACTCATAGTAATCAGATAACTGAGGAAAAAAAAAATGGAAACATAAAGAATGTAAATAACTATTTAAACTAGCTTTTATTTAACTAGTTAGCAAAATCATATAAATATGTGTAGGTTTAATGAATAAATCCTATTCCCTGAAAATTCAGCATGAATGCTCTTAATATTGGGGACTGTGTTTTCCTTGGTGTATGATTTTTAATCCTTTCCTTCAAGGAAGAGTAAATGTTGCCTTTGTTTACTGTGAACACAGCCAAGAGAGTAGGATTTTCTCTCCCATCTTCGTATCTCCTCTGCTGTCATTGTCCAGGAAAAAAGGAAGCCATAGGACTGTTAGTCATATTCAATACTACAATCTGACTGGGGGTTTACCTGAACATCCATAAATGTTCTTCTGTTTTCTTTCTTATACAGAGTCAATACAAATTTGTTTGTGAAGCTATTCTTCGTGTTTACAAAGAAGGATTGGTTCGACCACTGGATTCCAGTTAGCACAGCAGTGAAGAATGCATTCTTTTTTCACCTAAAAAAGACTGCTCTTTAAATAAAGCAAGGGCTCATTTCTCAAAGCAACTAGGATGGACTAGAAGCCCATGAAAAGACAGATGAGCACATTTGAACTGTGGCACTTTAAATTTCTCAAGAAGATTGCTAAATCATGTACAGTGTAACAAAGTCATGTAGATAAATATATGACAGCAATTGTGTGTAATATGCTTTATTCACATAGACGACCATAAACAATCATGGAAACCTTAATACATATCTTTTACTGCCTTAAAACACCCTCCACTTTGGAAGTTAAAAATTGCTTGTATTTTATTTGAAATAACAAAAAGAAAACTCATAGTATTGAAATGATTCAGCTTAAGAGGGTATTTTAATATATTTGTATTGTATGAAAGTTCATTGAAGGTGAATATTTTTAATTTCCTTATTGGGATACTAAGTATTCATGGAAATGCAGCCTTGACTACTAAAATGATGACAAAGAGCTTTAAAGGCTAATGCATAACTACTGTATATTAAGAGCTGGAGAAATTTAGTATTCATTTACCATAAATCTATTAGTGAGTTCGCCAGCTGTTATAATATGCTGCTTAGAAATCACATCTACTGTATGTGATGTGAAAATAATGCTGCATTTAGGCATTTATGCAGATGGTACAGTCTACATCTTCTGTTGATCAATTTTAATTGCAACTTGCCCTTTTAACAGTGACCTACTTCTTACAGTTTTAGTTATTGTACTCCTTTACTTCTGTTTCTGCTGTCCATCTACTTTATGCTTGTTTTTCAGTCATGTGGACTGAAAACATTGTAACTTAAAATGAGTTTTAATTCTCTGTCATGTTTGTTTCCATGTGTATTTATGAGTTCTCAGATGTAAATGTGGATTAATGTTGCACACAAGTACTAGACTTTTGACTTACTGTATATGCAAAGTAATCTAATCCAATACTGGAAGAAAAATTACTACTGAACCCATCAAATATGTTGCTGCTATTTCAAGGTGTGAAGCTTACAAGGGCACAGGTGTTGCTAGTGTTCAGACGGTGATAAAATGATGACTTGCTGCCCTCCAGCAAAAATGCTCTTATCCAGTGGAACACAGCTCCCCTTTGCAAGAGTTCTGCGGATTTACTGTGTTTCTTGCTTATACAGAAATGCAGCTAAATTCACATGAAGATTTGTGTGGAAAGAGAGAATGAATTTGTATATCGATGAATAATTCACCCTAAGGTACACTGGTCTCTATTTCATTTCAGATGGGAGAATTAGACTTTCTGAACAATATAACCACATTTGTATGATTTTAATTTATTTTGTGTGTGCTTCTTGATTGCCCTGAGATAGCTATTAATTTTTTTAATGGTGTTTAAAAAATATTCTAAGGGACTGTTTAAAACTCTGTTATTTAAAAGATTAGTCCTAAGTAAGGAAAAATTTTTATGGGGCATATTAACCAGATGTTTATATGTGTATAAAAGAGAAAATGAAATAATTTTTGAGAGATATATATGCACACACATATTCAGATATATTTTAGAATTATGGTTTGTATTATGGATATTATCCTTTATATCTGGAGTTTCATTATAGAAACTATCACCACTGTACAGTATGCATCTCTCATGTTACCAAAGGTTATGTTTTTTTCCCCTAGGAGATAACTAAAAAGTGAATGTAGGATGTGCTAAATTGCTGACTCTTGTCTTCTGTAGGCTTGGACCTTTCTCCAAGATCGCATTATTAGTCATAGCTAAAGAAGATACCTGGTTACTATTGATCAAAAATTTTAATTGCAACACCCAGGGTAATTGGCAACATGGAAACATTCTTGGCTTTGTTAGGTTGAAGGCTGAATAGATTTGTGCTCATTCTTAAATGCTGCATTCCAAATTTCACTTTGAATGAAGTTTTTGTAGTATTTTGGATCATTGTCCTCTTGCTTGATTAGGCATAGATTGGAAGGCAAAAGACCGCACCTCTGGTTCACATTTATCTTGCTAAACTGCATCCAATCACTCAATCTATCTGTGTGACCAAATGTAAAATGATTCTGGACATGCACATATAGCTCGGGAAGCTTCTTTGGAAAATGCATGTAGAAAAGTGTTGCACAAGTGCAGGCCGCTTGCTGCTGTTAGAATATTGAGCAGTGAGAAAACATAGTGGATCTTTCCCAGGAAAGGAGTAGTGGGTAGTAAAGAATGTATAGTCTCCTGGATGGTTAACAAAAGCCTCCTTTATGTTATGCGTGTGCCTGTCTGTTAAAACATTTTTTTTTCCCTTTTTTTTTAAATATTTTTATTTTCTTTTTTAAAACATTTTTATTTTCTTTTTTTTCGTGTTTTGTTGTGCCCAGGTCTCAGAGTCATCCCTTGCAGTTGGCATGACTTGCATTTAATGGTTTGTCAAGAAGTGAAAAAGGCAAAAAAATAAATTGTAAAAAATATCTAGAGCAACTTGTGACATCCGTTTCTTTCATGGAAATACTTATGGTATCTTTGTGTTCAAGGTTATTGCTATATTCCTGTTGTTATTTATGTTTCTTGGTGTTGAATATGTACTTACCAAAGCACTGTAAACTTATTCCTTATTTAACTCCAGTCTCAAAATATATGGTATGGGCTTGATTTGTGTTAGTATGTGTGTGTTTAAGTGATGATGGTCATATTGTGACAACAAATGCTGCTTTTGTTGGGTTTAGTTATACCATTGGTGAGTTCTTACTTAGATTTTAATAGCTTGTTTGAAATTGCTAACTATGGAGAGACTACTCAAAGCTATAAAAATAGTAATCTCTATAAATAGTAATCTCTATAAGATTTTTTTTTTTTTTTGTAAAACCTTAGAGGAAATATTAACTACACAATATCTTGTACATTGTGTCCATCTTTATTTCAGTCTTGCTGGGTTTTGCACATGTACCTGTAGGGTCCATAGAGGAGATTGAAGGGGTTTTGTTTTCTCTCTGTAGTGTGTAATGACTTTGCACTGAATGAAGTATGCCTTAGATCTGATCTTGCAATGAAAGCATAATCAAGAAAACATCTTCTTAATGCCAGCTTTTGTTTCCACAAAAATTAAGAAATTAATTTGACTGATCATTCTGGGGTTTTTTTTTGTAGGAGTTAAAACTCCTAACACAAAGCTTTTAAGTGTCAGCCAATTGACAAATGGCAGAAAATGCTGTGAAGTCAAGATTCTATATAACCTTCATAAACAGTTTAACCTTGATTTTGCCTGTGCTGGTATGATCATGACAATAAGTATTCAAAACGTCTAGTGTGGTGGTGGATGAAGAGGGAGCAATAAACCTTTGAGGTTTTCATCACTGTGAAATACACTAACATTTATTCTACAGAATTAAACAAATTTTAACTATGTGGCTTTATATTTGATACAGAAGTAACTTATCTGCCTATTTAGAGTGTCTTCAGAACTCTCACAGGGGAACACTTCTGAGACAGAGGGACAGATCTTGCCATGTATTGAAAATTAAAAAAAAAAAAAAACAGAGTGCCCTAAACCACGAATGCCTTTTATGTAACTGGATGGATGAAATATAAATCATTAAAATACAAACAAACATTGAGTAGTGGTGGTGTTTTGAAGAAAAAAAAATTAAAAGAGTAGTTTTGTAATCCAGCAGTTTGCTTTCAGTAATCCTGTTTTTTAGGTGTTAGTACTAAATTACATGCAGTCAAAATATACCTAAGAATTCAGCAATAACTCTTCATATACACTCAGTGTTTTTAACAGTTGATTTTCCTTTTTACCTTCTTTTTTTCTACTATGCAGTACTTGGTTAAATATATATGTATTTCAAAAAATTGTTGTTCTGGACTATTTAATGAATGATGCATTGACTTAATTACAAGTTTAAGATGATACTGTTTTACAACAAAAGCTCTTCTCTGTAGATAGTATTCTTGTGTGTCAGACTGAATGCACAAACGGCCCCTGAATGAAAATATTGAAAATAGACACACATGGTTAATACTCAGTCAATTATAATTTAAACATCATTATTTCACTGATAATGGCCTTACTTTTATATCTTAAAATGTAACATCGAAGTGCAAGTTTATTTTACTCCATCCCATAAGGCCTTTCCAGAGAGAACATATGCTGAGAAATGTTTGTATTTTGATTAGTAACCTGCAATCAGTTCTACTTGGTTAAAAGCATTTATTAATTGAAGCTATATAGAAGATAAAGTTGTGTCATGAAATACTTTGTTCAAAGGCAGTTGAAAGCCAAATGAATGATTAATTTATTATATAAAACATAATGTTTTGATTAAATGGATTCTCTTGCATTTAAGTTCTGACACTGATAGTGTTAAGCCATCTCAGATGACTGTCTGTTTTAACAATAGTATTACATTAACAGTTTAAATATAGTAATCTAGTGCAATATGATTTAGTTATAGTGTACTTTAACATATTTAATGTTCCAGCTGTTCACTAGCTGTACAATCTTCTAACAGTAGTACCCACAATCAGTGAAACTTGCCATCCTAAAAAAACAGTAAGTTTCTCTGAATGAAAAGGAAGGAGTAGCCCATAATATTGATAGATTTAACCATTTTTCAGCCTCAACTGACCCTGTGACAGTAGTGATCTTACCACTCATAAGGAGCAAATATTGAGAATCAGTAATATTATGGAAATATGGAAAAGATAAGTTGTGTGGACTGTTGATATTGTTTAGTTTTGGCTGTAGTTAAGAGACCAGTAATTATTGCCATTTTTTTTTTTTTTTGAAGACATTCATCTCAAGAGGTGACTGTGGGAATGGAGAGTAGAATGTGGGTTTATTGACTCTCTCCTAATTCACTTGCAGCCTACTTTGATAAAAGGCTTAGATTATGTGTTATTGTGGGCTTGGCTGCAAGTTTTGTATCTTTAATTAAATTTGTACTTAAAATATTAAAGCACTGATTTTAATAGACATTATTGAAACACTTCAGATTACTGTTAACTGTGCAACTTCTGTTTACTTGGCTTTCATGGTTATTGTTTTTGTTTTACCTTGTAAAAACACTTTGAGGTTTTCCCCAACTGTAAAACTGGCTTTGTCCTAAATGGGCAAAGTGATGTTACCATTGCTTAAGATAGGATGTTACTTACACCTGCCAAAGGTGCAATGTGGTATTCAGACCAGCCTGAACTGAGCTCCTTTCTGAGGAATTTAAACAGTGTTACCAACAGTGGTAGAAATCATAATCATATGTGGAAAAGCATGTAGGAAATGCTTTGTTCAGGGCAGATAAGACCTGAGTTTTATTTAAAAATAAAAACAGACTAAAAAATTTGTGAAGATGAGAATGTTTTTAAAAGCTAAGTTAGGGATGGTAAATACGCTATTTTTTCCTTTTGCAGAACACTTCTGTGTTTTAGACACATCAATTCTCTTGGAGCAATTTCAGTAGTAAAGAGTCCTGCTATTGAGGGGATTTAATTTTTGTCAAACTGACTTAGAAAATAATTTTAAGTGGAACATCTTCCGTATTTACTGGTTTGTGCTTTTAAGTAACATTAAAAAAACAAACAAACAAAAACAACCAAAAACCAAAAGGAAAAAAAAAACCCATGAAACCTTTTTCCTTTAAAATTATTTTGGCTGTTTTCACTTGATATCTTTTTCTGAGACGTAAATGAAACCCAAATGTGGCTGGGTAACTAGTGAGGTTGCCCCACATACTGGGAGGAAGGAGATGCTTTTCTAGATCTATCAAATCTCTTACCTAACATCAGTTACCAACTGAAACCAGTATAGCATTATATTTCTATCAGCCTTTTGCAGCATAAACATTCTGTAAATAGGAAATCCTTGAAGCTTGCTCTCGCAAACATCATAAGTCATCTTGTATCGAGCTAGAATTTATCCTTAAAAACAAACAAACAAAAAACAAACACCAAAAACAACCCCAAACAGTAAAATATGAATCTTCAAGTAAAGAATGACAATTTACCAAATTCTATACAAGGTATACCTTTTATAAGGAAAAAAAATAGTAAAAAGGCTAGCTGCTAGAATTATCTTCTTTGCTGTGGGTGCATCTTAAGCAGTCATAAAGCAAACTAGTTCTCAGCTAGTATGCAGTATGGCCACTAAAGCACAAAAATTGCATCATCAGCCTAACTGCCAGATTAATTTCTCAACTTTCTTGCAAAGGGTTGGTTGCAATCCTGATTTGAAAGGAAGGAGAAAGGGCTGATTTCCTTAGAGAAGAAACTGAAAGTGTGCTCAGTAAATCCACAGTCTATATTGATCTTAGTGGGATTGTAGTTGTATTATCTAACCTGTCTAGTTGAAAGTAAGATCAGGTGTGTCTTTTTGAGTTTGAAGAATATTGAGGCCCTCCATTCTAGAAAAAAGCTGTGGGCTTCATTTGCTTCAGTTGAGCAGCAGGTTGGCATGGTAGCAGTTGAGATGCTCTTTATTTTGATTGCTCTTCCAATTCAGAGCTTTGCACACATGAATGAAAACTTGCCTTTTATCAGGAATTAAATTACCATCTGTAGAAATTAGGTGGGGAATTATTATATACACTTAAATGTAAATTGATTTCTAATCCAGGTTTTGCAAAATAAATGGCAGGTATCAGTGCTTATATTCCAGTGACCTGTGTACTGAGACATTTTCACACTTCATTGTGTAACCTTAATAGAGAGATACAAGATAAATAATGGGGACAGTCCTATAATGGTTTTGAAAATCTACCAGCTGTTCATTCTGTCAAATGATGTATAGTATAAAACTGACCTTGATATGTAGATGTGCTTAATAATGTAGAATCAATTACATAACAATTGGGAAAGCCAAAGTTGTTTGGATTTTTTTGCAAGTTTTGCAAAAGATTTAGCATTCTAGTCACTAAGTTTGTATTTTCAAATATGTTCAGTTTGCGTTTTTGTGAGACATGTAGAAAAATCTTGGAAGATATTATCCATTCAGGAACTCTGGCTGAGTTTTCTTTTTTAAATTTTTCTTTTTCCTGTAGCACTCTATAGTTTCTTCTGAGATCCTGGGTGCCAGTGCATTAAAGGAATAAAAGAATGTATTTGGAAAGTGAGGAAAGAGATTATTTTGTATTCTCCACTGTACTTTTCATTTAAATCATTTGAAATGTAAATTGATGTTGATATTACAAAGTTTAATTTATTGTTCAAAAGTGTAGACACTTCTTGAAATGAATGTATACTTTTTCTTTTTTATTTTTATAGGAATAAAGTGTTGGTTAATGTTTTTGGTATAGCTTTCTTGAGTTCTGGAACTGTTTTGAACAAAAATATAGCCACCATTTTATGCATATTGGTTATATGACTAATGGTGAAATAAAGCATTTTTGGCTATATGGTTTTACTGTTGCTTATTCAAGAAGAAAATAAAAATTACATTAGAAAGTTACTGACCTTTTTAATTGAAAAGAAACCAAGCAAGTCACAAATTCTTAGGAATATTTCACTTGCAATAAGTTTTATAAAAGAGGATGAAGATTGTCTTGATCAATTACACAAATAAACCTTTGCACTCATGTGCACATAAGGCTGATAACCAATTGTTTGAGTGCAGATTTTCTTTTTTGCTACTATCTATAAAAGCTGCAGACTGTTCTTTCTTTTGGGATTTCATGTGTCTTCATGGTACTCCCCAGGCATGTCTGAGTACTCATATTTTCTGTCTGTTGCCCCATGGTGGTTGTCATGTTTTCACAATAAATCAGAGCCCATTAATATTGTTCTTGAATTATTTCTGCTCACATGCCTATTAAAATGCAAGTTTATGAGTTCCAAAACAGAAAACACATTGAGTCCAACACTACCAGATGGATAGAACATTGACCTTAAACTATGTTCGGGATTTGGTTAAGAACTGGGATGATTGTTAGCAAGCACTTTTTGCTGTTTACAGGTCGTGACTCTGCCTACTGGTTAGTCTTTTTAAACTTGAGGCCAATAACTCTTCATGATGAAGTTTATTAATTCAATGAAATCTTGATCAAAGAAAGTACAAGGCCAAAACCAACTATCTGGACAGCCTGGACATGAGATATGCATGCAGGCTGGAATTTCTTACAGCTGCATAGAAAGCTACAAAGATGAATGTTTTGCTGGAAATCCATACAAAAAATGTTTATGGAAAGATATGCTGGTATCTTCACAGCTTGAATGCAGGATAGGGTGCAGAAGAGCTTTTTGGAAAATTGCACAGCTGATTGCTAGAGGGGCTTTAACTTGCCTAGTGTTATGGATGATTTCAGACTTAATGCAGATTACCAAGATGCTCTACTCCTATGTACAAGGCAATCCTTTGAAATCCTTTTGGTACTGGCAACCCTACAGAGGAATGAGGTGCTCCTCCAGGGAGCCAGCAGTATGGAAGAAATGCTTTTACATAATTCATAAAACTCCTAATGAGCAGTCACATGCAAGAAAGCATCACTTTTAACAGTCTTGTTTGAATTTGTAGCAATTGGGAACATAAATGTCAAAATTTCATTTCCCAGTATATGTATTATTTCCATGTATAGCTTTTTCATGCCATAATTCAATGATAAAAGCATTTACAAGCAGTGACTCAATTTAGCTTATCTTCCTTATAGTACTCAAAATATTTAACTAATATAATAAAAATTATCAAGTAACTGATTTTATCTTAATATGGGATTAAATTCCTCTTTTTCTCAGTACTAGTATAATTAAACTGGTTTTCGTGTACTAAAAGATAAATATGCAAAGGTAGCATGTGCAAAAGCCAATCTGCTAGGAAAACTTGTTTCTTCATTTGAATGTCAAAATTCAATGTTCACAATTCATAGAAAGAGCCCTGTGAGATAACTGAAAGGTGTTTGGGGAGACTGTGATCACTGCTGCTGATCTCTGGGTTCAAAGCCAGTTCAGATTCCTAGGTCCACCTCCAGGGATGAGGGACATCAGTATTTCGCCAGGATATGCTAAAAGGTCAGACTCCTCTGTACACTCACATGCAGACCCGTGTAATTCTGACATTTCCACTGGGGAGCTTGGACACCTGCAACACTCTGTATTTTAAAGCAAATATCTTCTGATTTACTTTTCCTCTTTCGTGGAGTTTAGCTCCCACCCACAAAAGATGCAAGATTATCAATAACAGGAGCCTTTTAGTTCTTCCATGCATCAACTACAATTTAAAAAATAAATTATTTCACACTAATAGGAAAACGCTTCCTCAGCATTAGCTCTGTCTCTCAAGCCCAGGGTTTAATTGCTCAAGGACAGTCAGGTTGCACTGGCACCAGTGGTGGTGTGAACTGGGGTGTCAGAAGGTAATAACAAGGTGGAAGGTGTGAGAAAAACTTCACTGTATACTTCTATGTATCCCACAGAGTACTGTGGGAATAGCAGTATCAGTTGCTAATGGGTTTGATCCTGCTTAAGTGTAACTTTGTCCTTCAGAGATTTCTGTGTCAGCAAAAATGGCCTGAGCTTTTAGACCTGATAAATTCTCATTTAAATACTGAATGTTAGGTCTTTCAAAGTGATTTGTCCTTTTTGAGTGTGTGGGTCCCAAGGTCCGATGTGGGTAACTTTGTTCATGCATGTTCATACAAATGTCATGTAAATGTAGTGTAGCTCTTTGGCTTTGAATTCATTTTTATAGATGCCAAGTTAGCATAAGCTCATTGATTTCAGATGGGACCAGCTTGCTTACAAATAATACTTAGCCTCAAAGGATGTAGTGATGCCAGCCTTCTGGTTACATGCTGAAAACTGAAATGCCTTTTTTCTATGAAGATACTTGTCAATGTATCCAGACAGGCTGCAAGTATAATTTTTTGTTCGGAAGAGTCAGGGCTATGTTATTTTGTGCTGCTGGGGTTTGGTTTTGGTTTTTAGTTTAAGAAACGCTATTACAGGAAAATCTACTCACTTTGCTTTAAGAAAAGTTCTTCAGAAATCCTACTGATGAGGACACTTGAATTTTGAATAAAGGATGTCATTTTGTCCTCTGTGAGAATGGCTTGCAGTAAATGTACTGAGCTACTGCACTTCTGCTACTTGCTCATGTCAGGGCATGAGCAAACGTCTCAAGCTGTCTCAGGCACCCAGCTGGGAATATGCCACCTCTTCAGGAACTCTTCCTTATACAGTGAATAATTTCCCTACTTTTGTAAGTAAAACAGGAACTGAGGAGAAGTAGAGCTTCCAACTCAAGGAAAGTTAGGCCTGAACAGAGCCTAGAGGCTGTGCAGAAAACCTACAGAACCAAAGTGCAGAACCTTCTGCAGAAGTCAGGATGATAATCATTTACAAGGAACTTCTTCCTCTTCTTTCTTCTCCCCATTCCCCTTGGATTTTTACTAAGGAAAACAGTCTTGGTGGCAGGAGAGTGCCACAGCCAGTCTGAGCTCTCTTTGGAGTAGGAAGGTTTCTTCACTCTTATGAAGTTGTCTGTTCTTTCATGGCCTGATGCAGGTCACACTGTTATTTTCCTGTTTGACCTCTGTTCCTCAACTTTACCCTCTACACCAACTGCTCAGAACTGGCCTGGATTAAAGCTCCTCAGCTGTGTAACTAAGAAAGCCCATCTTGGCAACTGCTCTTACAGGGGTCTTAAAGATTTGTTTAAATGACATTACTTTCAAATATTGTATCTTTATCAAGTGGATAGGAAGGGGGTGTATATATAGAGATTTAGATGTGTATGAGTGCATATATATAGATAGATAAAATACATTGGTAAATAACAAAGGTAGTTCCGAAAAAGGCAAAAAATGCATAAATTCTATTTGACATCACAACCATAAGCAGTATTGAAAAGGGATGAGTCTAAAATGAAGGTTGCAATACAAGTAATATAAATAATGTATAAATAAGGAGTGGTGTTTTTTAGCATGCAAAAGTAATCTTTGTACTAAAGTAAAAACTTGATTCAAACTATTGAGAAAATCTGTATATAACCTGGGTTCTATTATTTCTGTGCATAGGATTTTGCTTTTGTAGATTCCTGTAATACATGCATAATTTACTTCTTTAATTAAGACTGAATATGGTTTGCTTTATTGCCATCTGCATAAACTGTTTACTTTTTTGTCATTACAAGGTAATGTGGATTGCGGGCTTTTTTTAAAGGTATCATCTTGGACAAGTGATTTCCTGGTATTTGAGGGAGTTTAGACAGCATAGGGAATATAAATAGAATAGGGAAAATAAAATACTTCATGTAGCAATGATTACATTCAGCATATATTCAAGCAGATTGATACACACTTCATGCCTTTTGCCCTAATCAAACCTATTATTATTCAAGTTTATAATTTGATACTATTGGGGTACTCGATGCTGAGCAAATTAGTATCAAATGCAAGCCCACTTCCAATGAGGTTTCAGGATAGTTCAGAGGAGAGACAAAACAGTTTACACGTGCACATTTAACCAAGTGATAGTATGCAAGGAAACAGGTGTGACATCCTCCTTCCAGTCAAGTTAAATATGGAAAAAAGTAACTGTGCTTTTCTTTAATAAGTGCTCAGTAACAGAAATGAGACCAAAAATAATTTCAGCAGGTATTTGAAGAGCAGAAGTTGAGCTGTGGGAACTGGTGGAGTTACAGAAGCATCCAAGTGCATAGGGAATGATATTGCATGGAGCCTGGATTATCCAAGTATAGTAAGCAAGAAAGCAGAAATTCACAGAAACTGGGAGTACAGCACTGGCAACATGGCTTGAGAGGAAGCCCACAGTGGAGAGCCCTTTCTGCAAAGAGAATTGAAACCCTGGGCAGAAACTCGTTCTCACTGTGTTCCCATTGCTTCAGAGAAATTGGACCTTGATGGAATTGTGCTAGTTGTTTAAAAAGTTCATACAAAAAAAATCTTGGTAGCTTTCTTGTACTCCCTATTGGGGGCGGTGGGGAAAGCAGCAATAGCTGACATTCGGCAGAAGATAATGTTTTACAATACTGTGAGATGCAGTTATTTATATTTTTCTCCAAATGGGTAAGGATAGCAGCAGAGACTCGCAGCCAGAGGGCAAACCTGTCAGATCAGGGAAGTGAATGTGTGGGCTAAGTTGTGGTCCTCTGCCCTAGCCAAGGCTGATTCCAGAATTCCCATGCTGATTATCAGCACGATTTACAAGTTGTCCATGGGATGCCCTATCTGTGGAAAAATATTCTGTGGAGTACTGTACTGGAGGAGTTTCATACTAAAAATGTTTGCATTACTGGCTGTGGCTCATGGCAAAGAAGCAATAGGTTTGGACTAAACAGTTTACAAGATGGTGAAACATTTGCTGCTCCCAGGATGAGTTTTCCCCACCCTTCTTGAGTGTGGCCAACTCAGGGTCC